GAGGTGGCAGTGGCTGGAAGCTGGAGGTGTGGGGCTGGGGAAAGCAATAGTTGAAAACACCTAAGGTGCGAGGGTAAAGAGCTTCCCGCTAGGGGCGGCATGATGTGCTTCTGTTCAGTAAGCCAGGGAATTCCACTCTCAGGAAGTGTTTGACGAGAGGACTCTGGTGGAAGGAACACAGCCCGGCTTCACGCTCGCTGCTCTTCTACCTGGGCACAAGGCGAGAGCCTAGGGATGTGGAATCAGAGAGGAAGAATGTTGCAAATCAAGCAGACTATTCCTAGCGCTATACCAGATTTCTGTCCCCACGCAGACACACACAGGGCTGCATTTAGCCATTGGACGGTCCGTTTTAGATCACAATAGGAAACCTATGAAATTGCAACAGGGTGAAGGAAGAGAAAAGCAAATGAAGAGCACAGAGGCTGCTGTATGCGCCAGCCGTGTCTGGAGATGGCAACAGGAGGGACCCGTATACAATCCAAGAAGTGCTCCAAAAGCTTTTCCAGCCCACAGAAAATGTCAGCTACGGGAAAGATCTTTTCAACAAGTGTAATCAGGAAACTGGAGTAACAATAGATGAGTATATCGCTGTACTACGCCGAATGGCTGACTCATGTGATTATTGACTTTCACAAGATGAACTAACTCGTGATAGGTTAGCGATGAGGACGAAAGACGCAGGAGTTTGCATGAGAGTGCTCAGAGAGCCCACGCTAATGCTACCAAAAGCTGTAGATGTGCAAAGCTAGTGAACCAGCTCCACTCCAAATGCAGTGTGTATGTGGAGCAGGCAGAGAGAATTCACCCACCAGCACAACGAGCGCATGAAAACATAAGGGAAAATATCCCAACCTCCACGCAAACGCAAATGCACAGATGCAAAGCAGAGAAGATACAATGCAAAGGAAGATCTATGGGGAGAAACATGATGCTTTGGGGTGACATGCAAGAATTGTGGCAAGAGAAATCATTATGGCAAATCACAGTAGACCAGAAGAGACTGCAATGCACCATATCAGGGCAGCCAGCGGTGACTCAGAGGGGGAGATTTGGCATGTATGTGACATTCATGAGGCACACACAGCAAACACACGTTTGTAAAGCTCAGACAAACCTCCAGCACACAGACCAAGGCAGTGGCATATGAGCTGGAAACCGAATGCTCGCGAGACAGTGGAGTATCAGCGAACGTGGGAGGCTACAAAAACTTCCTCGGCATTATGCAAAGCAGAAGGTGAATGTGGAACCAAGCAAAGGCGAATGCGAATGGTCTGGTGGCCCAAGCTGACTACTACTAGGACAATTAGTTATGAATGGCATACCACCAGTTACCTCTCATTCCTGTCTTCCAGCCCAGTGCGCGTCCTTTCCCTATTCGCCTGCCAAATCCCTGGGGTTCTGCTGCACCAACTGGCATGGCTAAGCAATGACCCGTATTAGCCTTCCTCCAGGTCACAGGTGTCTGGCTGGGGCAGGGGTCATGTTCAGCCAGGGGCCACACTGGGGTAGATGGATTACATGGGAGCTGCAGACAGTGGCAGGGAATATGGGATAGGAACTTGTGGGTGCCCAGGTAAGGTCAGGCCATGTCTGACAGGTGATGCGTGGGCGTGAAGGAAGTGAGGGGGCGACAGCCGTAGTCTGGGACAGGCTCTGGGTCTCACTTGAGAGAGACGCAGCCAACCCAAAAGGTGTTAGTTTATCAATTAAAGAGTTTTTATCAATGAAAAAGTTAACAGTAGTTCCAGGGGCTCCTCCCCCCCGTTTGCTTCAATTTCTCCTTTAGCTTGGCACATGTCGCTGCATGACAGACCCACACGAACGAGAGAACCCTGCTGGCATGCGGGGGAGCTGCACTGTGGACCTGCCGCAGAGAACGCACCCCCAAAAGACCTCTCCCGGTTGTAGGCATCCCGACACGATTGTTGTCTGGCAGCTGAGAGGCTGTGGAGTTGTCCAAGTCCCACGAAAGACACAGAGCCAGGTTCAGCTTTGTGTCTCAGGTGTAAATCTGAAGTGACTCTGCTGACGTCAGGGCCGTTACTCTGGAGAGAGAGGGGGCTTGGGAAGTGTTGGGTGGTTTGATTTATTTTAGATCCAAGGGAAACCAGGACACTCCAGGGAAACGTAACCACTTTCTTATTAATTGCAAGCTTTAAGCAGTTAAACATAGTTGTTTAAGTTTTACAAGCCTTAAAAAAACGACGATTATTCTAAAGCAATTATAACAGCACAGAGCAATGCAAAAGCAATTAATAGAAAATCTACTCTAATACAGCAATAAAGCCTAGTTCACTTACGCTTCACCCGCATGCTACCTACAGTACCTGGCAGGAGGGCGTGGTTCCTTTTCTTCCCACGCAATGGAACGCCACGTACTGGATCGCCGCTGTGAAGGGCCCGTTTACGTCTAGTTACATTGAGCAGGACGTGTGAGACAGTCCTGCCCGTTCCCGCCATCGATTGTTCTTACTAAGCCCATTTTATAGCAAAGGGAGACTTGGTGGTTCTAATACTCTTCACCAATTGATGACGTGTTGTGTAGGATACGTAACATGCCCAATGCCCTATTTGGAGTACATCCTACTAAGGATGTTGCTCTGTGCGTAGTTGACAGTTGTCTGGCTGCATCTGTACATTGTGCTTATCAGAATTACAAGGTTCGTGGTTGCAGTACAAGGTTGCTTGTCGTGTGTTCTTGGTGTGGTTTCGCTGTGCCACGCTTAATCTGCATTGCTGTTCAAAGCAGTCCTGCCTTGCAAAGCTTGTCTGCGTGCTATGTGCACCAGACTTGAGACCGGCCTGGGTTTGGCTCGTTAGGGATCCGCACTGCGTACGAGGCAGACACAGCCATTTATTGTCCAGGCTCCCCTACGGGAAACCCCTGGCATCCTTGGTAAGCGTTTGGATGGACCAAACAAGCTGCCCTTCCCCTGGACTGGATTGCAGGCCTGGCTGTAGGTTTGCGGTAGCCCCTGCTGGGCTTGCAGGCAGAGCCGGGGGGAGCTTCCCAGCCCTTTATATCAGGTGATGCTGCTACGGGAACCCAGGAGGCATCAGGAGTTGACAGTGCCGTTTATTTCCTAGACAAAGAACTTCCCAAATTCTCCTCTGCTAGAAGCTCCAGACCCTCATTCTCGGAGTGTCCCTGGCAGTGGTGGGCGGATACAGGGTCTCCTCTCTGCTCCATCCCCCGCTGTCTGTGACTAGGGAGCGGGGTCATTCCCATGGGGCTGCAGCAATCTTGTCTACACAGCAGTGTTATTTCGGACTTGCTGACATTATTCTGAAATAACTTAACCTGCGCCTACATGGCAGGCCGTTAGTTCAACTGCTGTAACCCTCACTATATGCGGAGCCAGAGGAGTGGGAGGAGGAGCACTCTGCCTCCGGCTTCCTGCTGTGCAGACAGCTCCAAAAGCAGAGAATCTTTTTTGACTTCAGCTACGCAACTTCAGCTTTAGCCCTGCTGTGTAGACGTGCCCTCTGTGCGTTGCCTTGGGAACAGTGGCAGCAGAGTCAGCTCCATCCGGCATCTGTAGGGGCGTATTCAGCCCTCTGGCTGGTGCAGATACAGCCCCTGGCTAGGTCAGTGCAGGCTGGTGGAAGTCCAGATGGTGGCTTCTTCCTGTCCCACAGTCCTTTCAGCTGGCGTGCGCTGCCGGGAGGGATTTAAGACTTGGCGTCTTCAGGAAACCGTCTTGCCCCAGGAAATTCAAGGCCTGTCGCTTCAGGGGCATCTAGGCAGACGAGCACCGCTCACCACGGCCTCCTTTGGGAGGGACCTGCCTGCACCCCACACGCGCGCTCCTCCCTTCCTTCAGCTCCATCTGCCTGGCATCATGGAGCAGGGAAGAGCCGCCCACTCCTGGAACTGGACATGTTGCTGCCCCTCCCCTGGGAGCAGAGGAGGAGAGCTCTGCCCAGTCCACAGCCTCGGGCAAGAGACAATTGAGAGAGGGAGTCCTGACCAGACGGTAGCCAAGCAGTTTGGTTACATGTGACTGTGTCTGTAACTTGGAGACTGGCCTTACCTTCATCACTGCCCCTTCCCCAACGGTCACCTCCCATTTCCTTCTTCCAACGCAACGCATAATCCCTGTGCTTCTGCCTCACCCATCTTCTGCGGGCTTCCTTCCTCCACCAATTGCTTGTGCTTCTCCCCTGCCTATTTTTATAGGTAAGGCAAGCAATTAAATAAATCAGTTCCCTTCTCCACGTCAGTCATGAGCTCATTTGACGTCCGCTCGTGCAGTGAAAGCCAAGTGTTGATGAGATTCCGTAGGAATTTTGATCCGTTTTATTGCTCAAAATAGAATTTTAAAAGAAAATGGGAAATTAGAGCCGCAAGAGCCGTAGTGCTTTTATGACGTGGTAATACAATTGCGAAGACTGAATGTAACACAAAATGTTAACACTTCTCAAGAAGGAAAGATCCGGTCATTGCAAACTGCTCTTATTCCTAGAATCTAATCACCCGGTGGTGAAATTACCACCAAATTTAACCCCGGACTAAACTTTATCCTGTGGCTGAATGAGTCCCATACTAGTCAAATTACACTTAGGCTACAGATTCTAAATACAGATCCTTCTCTTGGCAAGGTGGCTAGGTACTATTCAACTAGCAACTGCCTAGGTTACACATCCCTCGAGATATATTCCAGTCAGCCAATTGTGGGACCGTGTAGCACACACAACAGTAAAAGTAAAATTACTGGCAGAAGGTTTAGTCAATTAATTAGAGAAAGGTATCAAGTTAATTTAAAATGGCCTTCTCCAGCCATGAAAATAAACCAGAGACCAAAATTTCAGCTGCTATATATTTTAGAGAGTTTGTCTGTCTGTGTGGCTGTTCAAGAACTCTAAAACAGTAGCTTGCTTTTATTTGGTACAACACAGGGACCACTACATTCTGTATACAAGTTCCTCTTATAAGTTAAAGCAACAGGAGGGGTTGGTTACGCCAGGAAAAAGGGATGTTCCTGGAATGGGATTGCTTCTCGGAAAACCATACAGAAAATAGACAGAATCACCCAATCAAGCACAGCCTTCAAAATTGACATCACTGAGCAAATGTTGAGAGACTGAACCAAGATGAACCGGCAATAGGCTTGCTTGTCAATACGCCTTACAGAAAAGGGATAAAACCGAGACGTTTGGAGGAGTGCTGTGTTTTGGCCCCGCTAAATCAATGCTTAAGGTTTGAAAACTAGAACAAAATGTTATTGCAAACCGCATTGACTTGAGCCCTTTTTTGTTAAAACCTAGCAGATGAGAATGGTTTAGAGGGATGAAGAAAAAAATACAGTTGATGGACTTTCCATTTAAAAAAATGAACTAAAAACAATTAAATGGAAAAATGTTAAGAATCTCTTTTTAAGACACCCAAAATAAAAATTAACTTAATAAAAATAACTGTAGTTTTGAAAAACACAATCATTTAAATAAAGCATGTACATTTTCCTTTTGTTTTAAAAAAATGAGTTAAGGACTCTCGCAATGCTGAGTAAATATGCTAGTCCTAAATACATTTAAAACCACACGTACTTAACTAAGGGCTGCTGATGGTTTACATTTATTTGGATACGTCTTATATGAGATCTGGAATCCTCGTGTGAACTGGCTACAAATACTTAAAGAACTGTGGCAAAGCTCAACAATAGTTACTCCGTTCACGCTTTAAGGAACATACGTTCACGCTTTAAGGAACTTGTCACTTTCTAGTGCTCACAAAACACGTGTCTAGCTATACTGGTTCCTTTAGCTATTAAGCAGACAGCTTTTCTTTGAGCTATCTTTGTAATGCACTTCTTATTAGAATCATGCTCTCCTGAACCAGCATAGCAAGTGATTGTCTCAGCGTGTTTCAATCACTGTGACTTAATATTATTTCTAGACATTTACTGTCAAACTTTTTTTTGCTAGCAAATGATAAATGCATTTTATCCTGAGAACATGCACGGCATGTAGAATGCATATTTTAATACAAAGTCCTCGGCGGGGTGGGAGCCGTCTCCTTGGCTCCTTTTGTGAGTCTCCATCTGCAGGGTGGAAGTCCTTTCTCTCAGTCTCCATTTTTTACTCTGATCTTGGGCAGTTTTCCCTTCTTTGAAGCTTTAAGACTCAAGCCGCACAAAGCCCGGACACGAATTAGCTGTTTTCTTGTCACTGGATGTCGTAGTGGAGCTGGAGAGAACTAATGAAGGGAGCCGTCTCCTTGGCTCCTTTTGTGAGTCTCCATCTGCAGGGTGGAAGTCCTTTCTCTCAGTCTCCATTTTTTACTCTGATCTTGGGCAGTTTTCCCTTCTTTGAAGCTTTAAGACTCAAGCCGCACAAAGCCCGGACACGAATTAGCTGTTTTCTTGTCACTGGATGTCGTAGTGGAGCTGGAGAGAACTAATGAAACAG